CCAGCACCCAGGGTCCAGCCAGGCGCCGTAAACGGCGCGCGGCCTCCTGGACTAGTGTGGAGGTCATGGCCCTCATTGAGGTTTGGGGGCAGGCCCCCAATGTCCATGATCCCCACACTAGACGGAGGAACGCGGCCGGCTATGGATGCATAGCTGCCACCATGGCAAGAAAGGCCACAGGTGCACCCAGGAGCAGGTGCGCCTCAAGATAAAAGAGCAAGGATCCTGACCAGGGCATGGAGGAGGAGCCGCCACACCAGCAGGACCCTCGAGCAGTCCCAGGAGAGGAGTCTTCAGGGTCGTCCGGGGAGGCCACACTATGTAAGTGCTATCACTGTCCTCTTCTGGGGGTGGGGGGAGGGGGACAGGGAGGGAGACCAGGGACTGTGCGCGTGGCCCTTGCTTATCATGCATCACGTACCGTGCCACCCCTGGACAGGTGGCTCCAGCTGCCTGCCACACAGGGGCCGTGACCAGATAGCCACTCCTGTGTGAGAAGAGACCTGACATGCTCCTCAACCAGGGTGGGACACAGCAGGATGCCCTCCCTTCACAAGCCCCCTCTAACATCTCCCCCCCACCTCGGCCGCACTATACACAGCACAGGGGCCTGGATGCGGTCTCGGGGCAGCTCCCACTCCTGGGGATAGCCAGACATTCCGACCATGGCCTCTGTGCAAGCACAGCGGCTCTGACGGTGCAGGGCACGGTCATCCTCACCTCGCAGAAGGGGGCCGGGCTTCACCCACTGTGTCCCCAGGGAGAACTGACCACTTCTCTTCTTTCTCCACAGCTGCATCAGCTGCGTGTGCAGGGCGCACCACCCCGCCCGGGACATCCTCCCGCACCCGAGGGCTCAGCAGGTCCACTGCAACACTGCAGGGGTACGGAGACCAGCAGCTGGGGGCCCTGCGAGCCCTGCACTGCACCATGTAGCAAAGGGTGCAGGACAAATGGGAGTTCCGGCAGAAGCTGTTTGCCCAGAGTCGTGCCATCTGTGCCCATCTGCAGACCCTGATGCAGAGCGTGCTGCCTCCTGCTGCTTCAGCACCTGCTGCCTCCCCAGTTCCTGCTCCTCCTCCTCTCCCTTCTCCCCCTCCTCCTCAATCTCCACACCCTCCTCCCCATCCCCCCAGGGAGGCTGAGGCCCCTGCACCTCCCATGCAGGGAGACACTTGGCCCGGTGAGACCCCCACCCCTGAGCCCTGAGCTTTCCCTCCCCCTTCTCCTTGCTTCCCCCTTCCAGCTCCCTCCTCCCAGTTTTCCCTTTCTGCTCTCCCACCCTCTTTTCTCCCCTCTCCCGCCTCCTTTCCCCAGTCTCCCCAGAGTTTCATCCCCTCCCCCTGTTTTGTTAAATAAAGGGAGTTTATATTTTTGAAAATACATGTATTTAATTGACATTAGGAAGGGGGGTTAGGGAGGGCTAAGTGGATGGCAGGTAAGCAAGCAGGGACACCTGAGAACCGGCTGCCTGAAGGGCGAGGGGTATCCCTTTGATAGCCTCAGGCAACAGCACACAAAGACACTCCTAACCTGATGCCCTAACCCTGACCTGGTTCTGCCTGGCCTTAACTCCGAATCAGTGTCCACTTAGTGTGGATGCAGTATTTCGACATAGCCAAATGCTATTTTGAAATGCATATTGTGTGTAGACACGTTATTTCAAAATAACTTATTTCCAATTAACTACAGCAAATATGCAAGAGGAGTG